TACCCACCACAGTGTACTCAACAGATGGCGGTAATGTTTTAACGACGATGTTTTACAGTGAGAAATATTCAATGTTAATAAAAAAAAATTGAAAAGTCTACAAAGGTTTGATCTTTGCGCGCGTATTACGGATTTAGAAGACTAAATTTTACATTTGATAAATAATGAAGCTTATTTGGAAGATGCCTTGAATAAGTAGTAAATTTTCTGGCTGAATGTCGGGGGTTCTTGAGCATTCCTGACGTTACTGACAATGATGATAACGCGTTGTTGATTATTGATGAACTCTTGATTGCTGGGAATTCTTGTGAATATGTGAAGTGGACAAATAGCAAAATCATAGCAAAATAATATCTAATTTTGCTATCATATTTTACTAAGTTATTGGTATGTTGTACAATAACTTAAATCACACTGACAATTATGGACCATTTCCATTTGATTAACACGCCAAACCAATTGACCCATAATAGTGACTTCGGGCTTCCCTTAGCTCAGTCGGTAAAGGCGCAGCTACAAAGTAAGACCATGCTGGAGGCGGCTGGGTTCGATTCCCTGTCCGGTCTAGGAATTTTTCGGGTTGGAAAATTTCTCGACTTCCCTGGACATGAAGTATGATTGGTACAGGCATCGAAAGCTCTCAATTAATAACTGTGGAAGTGCATCTAGAACACTAAGTTGAGAGCACGCCATAAGCTAATATACGATAAGCAATAAGCTTAAAATGCAAAAAAGAAAAAGAAGAAGTGACTAGGTGGCCCATAATACTGGTGTGACTGTACATCCAATTTATATCAAAAATTTAAAGTGGTTCTCAGAATTTCGTAAAAAATGTAGTTTTTGTTCCTTATCACATAATATAGGATCCGTATTTTTTATTTATTTTGTCAGTAGGGTGACTATTTCCATTTTAGGGTAATAAAAAAATGTGTTTTCAAAATTGACTTTTTAAAAAAAATATATAAATTTTAAACTACTGGGCCGATCTCAAAGATCATAACATCAAAAGGAGAATTATAATTATATTAAAAAGATGGAATTTTGTATTGAAAAATAATGAATATATTTGTTTTTAGTGGTTTTCATGGTTTGTAGACAGAGGGTGCAATATTATTATTATTATTATTTATTAGTGACACTTTATCACTTCTGTGACATTCGTGTCTCTATTTTATGACAGATTGAATTATCTTACGAACTAAATTTCTTTGCATAAAATAGCACCTTTCAAAAATTTAATTACTGAAATTTTCTTTTGCTGGAGGTGTTTGCAAGAACATTTGTTATTGTCCCATCGATTCCACAGTTTTGCCTAAATTCGGCAAATCCTCTGAAATCCACAAGTATATGATGCACAGTAAGTCGAGTTCCACAAAAACAGCACATTGGTGGAGATTTGTTTTCCAACACGTGAGAGTGAGTCAGCCGAGTGTGCCCGATGCTTAATCTGGTAAGAGCTCGCTGCTCAGATGATTTTTTTCTGTCAACAAATTTGCCTGCAGTCGGTTTGATTTGACGTAGGTGTGCCCAGGTGTGTCTCCTTACATTTTCCCAAACACACCAAATGCTTTGTTTAATAAACCGCACAGCATCCTGGGGTGGAATTGGCATGTTTGGTGGAATTCCCTTCCGCCCGTCAGCTTCCTCATTTCCCAGAACTCCTGCGTGACCGGGAATCCAACAGAACACAATTTTAGTTCCAATAACTTCGCGTTCAATTGTTTGGATCCAAGGATGAGTTGATTTTCCATTTTGAAGAGCGTCTAGACAGCTGGTCGAGTCGGTAAATATGATTGTTGGTTCGTCTTGGCTAATTTCTGACACAGCAGCTTTGAGCGCAAAAGCCTCTGCAGAAAATATACTGCAGTTTCCTGGCAAACTGAAGGCAGTTCTTTTGGTATCTGTAACGATTCCCGCACCAGTCTTCTCATTGTCCTTAGATCCGTCGGTGAATACTTTCCTGTGTGTTGAGTATTTATTTGTTACAAGCTCAACAAACATTGGCACAACAACTTGACTTGAAGTGCCTGCTTTTACTTTCTCCCTCAAGTCGTTACTTATAGATGGTGATGGAGTATACCACTCTCTATTGGTTAGTCTTAGAACACTACAGATGTTCGGCATGGAGACTCCTGTTACTGCTAGAAACAGATCAGATGCTCGCTTAACTACTGGTAGGTCGGCTACTGATTTGTTTTTTTTTCCACAAGACGTATTGCTAGTTGTGATAGGCGCTGAATTAGTGTTAGACGAAATGGCAGACACCCCGCTTCAGCAATAATGGAGATAATTGGACTAGTTCTGAACGCGCAAGAAGCTTGTCGTATCACCTCATTATATGTTGGGGTTAGAGTACGTTCCATAGCTTCGATGTTGATGTTGGTGAAACCTAGGCCGTACAGTAGCTTGGAAGTCACGAGAGCTGAACCTATGGTAAGGAGAGTTAAACGGTTGCTTCTCACTAGACGACGTCCCAAAACTCGAAGTATGTTTAATCGCTGCAGAGAGGGTGCAATATGTTTTTTTATATATGTTTTCTTAACTCAAGCTTTTTTACACAACATATCGATGTTGAGTTATATTTTTTAATCTTTTAATTTGTCGAACCTCCTAACGGAATCCCTTTATTAAGAGCTTTGAGTATGTTGGTTTATTTCCTTTAAATTCCGTTTTAATTACTCATATTTTGACAGAAACGCGTATTTCGTCTACTAGTTGCAGATTTCATCAGTGCCAAATACTCAACACCACAGTGGTGTTGAATACTTGGCACTGATGAAGTCTGCAAGTAGTAGACGAAATACGCGTATCTGTCAAAAGATAAGCAATTATAACGAAATTTAAAGGAAATCAACCAACACAATCAAAGCTCTTAAAAATTATATATATTTTTTTATTTTCTCCATTGATACTTACATAACTAACATAGTCACATAATCTAGAACCCTATTTTCTATTCTACTGTTATAGGTTTGAAAACCCATAACCCATGAAAACTTCGTGATAATAGGCTTGTTAAATTATTTAAACAGAGATTTGGTTAAAATTACAAGAATTTATGCAATTTTAACTTCAGTTATAAGTCACAAATAAGAGTAAACTGCTGAATGCGCAATATTTTTTTTTTTTTTTTTCCTTGGGTTTGTTTTTTCCGTCGATCTTGTTTTCCGTGCTGAGCACCAATGCTACCGACGTGCCAGGAAGGCAGCTCCCACACCTGGACCCTACCTATCGACCCATCAACTCATGAACCGGGGACCAACGGCTTTACTTCCCATCCGAAGGAAGGCGTGATCAGAGATGTTATGCCTCAGAACATCCCGGCGGCGCCGACTGGGATTGAACCCAGGCCTGCTGGGGTGAGAGGTAATCACGCTTACCACTACACCACCGGTGCCGTTTAAAAATGCGCAATATTCTGCAAAGAATAAATTTATTGATATGATGCAACATTCTAATCGTGTTTGACATGCCATGACATGTTTGATCCCAAGAATGTAAGGACAATGTGTTTTTGATCCAAAAATGTTACAGTGTAGCCGCAGTAATCATTCTGGAAAACAAAACTCTAGAATTTGACAGAAAAGTGGAACTCGAAAAACGCTATTTAAAGTGTTGGAATCTTATCTCGGCTTATGTTTGAAATCCGGAATAATGGGACATATCTCTAATGCTAATTAAATTATACAAAGCTTTCAGCCAAATTGAAGCGAAAATATTAGAACTAATCGTTCTATAGATTGGTGATAGGAGTAGAGTGGAAATATTCATTCATAAATGAAGTAGCGATTTTTTTTTATCAATTTCAGACCCTACCCCTCTTCCAGTTACATTTTCTGTTAAAGTCCTATTATTTTTGGTATTTTAATTCTTATTTCCATCAAACCAATAACAAATTGAGATGTTCTGATATTATTTGTTTTCATAGTAGAACTTGCTATTGATTTGATATTCTGTTCTAATTGGAAAGGGCAAACAAAGAGGTGAAAGCATATGCTTTTCATATGTATATCGTTAGAAAACAACTGAAAATTGCTGAGGAAATTTATTTATGTGACTATAACCAGTTCCTTTTTGTTTGCTTATCTGGTTAAGATGTTATACTTAATTATATTAAAGATAAATCGTCCAGCTCTAACCATTGTTGTGCTAAGCGGTGGGACGATCATCATCATCATTACAAATCTATTCTCGAAGGCAAAAGTACTCGAAGCCCTATCGATATGTCCAAAATTCGCCTAACCTGATGAAAGCAAACTTCACATGCCTCAAAGTCTTTAGACTAGTCCCTAAAATTCTTTGGTGGAATTCACTAAATCAATATAAATCAATATCGTGAAGCGCCAGAATGTGGTGAACAAAAAAAACACTTTTCCGATAGGAATTCCCCTATAAACTTTAAAGGGCCAGTGCATTATAAGATTGCAACCAAATAAAGTGGAGCAAAATCAATATTTAAAACTGCCCTAATATACAACACCAGGGTTGAATCTAGACATATTCAATTGCAAATAACAACATTAAAATATATTTGCTCCATTTTGAGAAATTTACATTTAACGTTCCTAATGGATTGGGAAAAATGTACACAATATTTTCAGACCAAAAATTACCCCTGCAAAAATGACCCAAATGCACTAGGAATGTTATTTTTATTATTCACAAGGTTTTCTGCCAGGGACTGGTTTACCTTGGGACTAGGAAGATTAAAATGACCAATGAATAGAGATTTAAACTTAGTAGCTTCAGCAAAACTGTGTATCAACAAAAGATCATCTATAGGTGCTTAGAACAAAAAATTTGCCAAATATCAATAGCGTCACTTTTTAATTCGACGTTTCTGATTTTGTAAACAATCACTTAAGCCGACGATTTGTCTTAACTAGTAGTTCACCCACGCAAACTAAAACCACAATCAGGTAGTGAAATTTGTAGAATATTGTGCTGGCCTATCTCAATTAATAAAAATATATTATTTAAAATTCGCTAGTCACCTAATTTCACTACAAAAGGTTGATTAAAAAAATGTATAAAACTTTCCTGGTGTCTTCGGTGGCTTCATCTAAAACTAACTTCAATTTGTGCAGGATGATGATCGTAACAACATGAACACTCAACAGATAATATTGTTTCTTACCAATTTTTTTTTTTATTTTCAAAAACCGCATACACGACATATGTTATCAGAGTCACGAAATGCTGAAGTCACCTTCGAAAATCAGAACTGCAGGATTCAGAAAATCAAACATCAGTGGAAATCAACATATCTGCCGACTCGTACATGGGAAACCGAGAGGGCATACTTCCGGTGAACCTTCCGCTGTCCCCAGAGGTGTCTTTCTTTTTCAATTTGAACCAAACACCTACCAGCAGAACGAAGATGACAATCAGGGTCAGGTATATTAATATTAGGTGACCAATCATCCGTGTGTCTATAATTCCGTGTATGTTCTCCGTTGTTGGTGCGGAGACAATTGAAGCTAAATAGTTGTCGGTATTTGGGATGGTTTCCGAAGGAATGGTGGACAGCCCAGGATCAGTGCTACCATTAGTGACATCAAATGTAGTTGTGCTTGGTACCATACATCCAGTATTCTCTCTCAAAGTATTGGAACAGATAAATCTTTCTTGATCGGATAAATCTTTGAGGTAGCACAGCAGCTCATTGGTATTGTCATCCAAGCACATTTTCAATTTCATCACTTTTAATATACAAGGATCGATGCTCTTGAGTGCATTACTTTCTAGCATCAGTATCGTTAAATCCAGTTGAGGGAATGCCAGCCCATGTATTTGAGAAATTTTGTTTCTCCGAAGATACAGTTTCTTCAAACTCGGAAGCATGGCAAATGTATATTTCTGAACTGTCACAAACCCACACTCGTCACACCTCAAATTTTCCAACGCTGTGCTTATTAGAAAAGGTTCACTGTCGCCCGGAGCAAGTTCCACATTGAAACTCAAATCAATCCTTCGGATACTGACAAGTGGTGTCAGCATTTCACTGGGCACTCGTCTCAGTTGATTCGAACGCAAGTCAATCTGCTCCAGCTGCATGTTGCCATAAAATGCTCCAACTTCAATTTGTTCTATAACATTATCGGACAAGTTGATCTGGTCCAATCGAGGCATTCCCTGCAGTGAGTGGTTGTAAATTCTATCAACGCCACATTGAGAACACTGCAAATCTATCAAACTTTTCAGCTCAAGAAAATGAGATCCATCGCCAGGAAAACGTAAGCGTCTGTTTTTATCCAGAATTAAGCTTTCTAGATGGTTGAATCGCTGGAACGTGATTTTATCGATAATTATCAGATCGTTTTTGCAAAGAGAAGTATAGATTATGCCCGATGGTGCATTTTTGAATACTTCTGAATTTTCATCGATGCTGGTTAGGTTCCCCACGCATAGGTCTAACTCGTTTCTGAAACGAAAAAAATAAATATATACAGAGTTTAAATATGACTCATACGTGGTAGACATCTTACATCTCATATCCATGACTAAATACGAAGCAAATTATTGAAGCTCCAGTCAGAAGAAGCTTGTTCATCGTATGGTTGTTATTAATACTGTGACGGATTATCGAAGGTGCTGGAAATGTATCGGTGGTGTTCTGATATGATCATGTTGCTATCAAACGAGCTCAAAGAAGAGGATAATCAGAAACTGTGTGATTTTATTTATTTTTTTTTTTTTATTTATTTTGTTAAGCAAAGTACACTGCACAGATTTTAGTGAACCGCTTACTAAAGGTACATGACTTCTTTAGAGTAAATACAGGAGTATGATTGTATGGTATGTTATGAATTGAAATGATTGTTGCGGTCCGATTATGAACATCTGCGTTGGTAAGAACTTATCAGATCAATATCCTGCACCTTCTTCTTCTTCTAGGCTTCATTACGCTTAGCTGTAGCGAGCGTTTTGCCGGCTGTCAACTTAGTGTTCTATTTAGATACACTTCATCAGTTAATAATTCTATGCTGACCAATGCAAGAAATTGAATATTGTGTGGCAAGCAGAATGCTACTCTATGCCCAGGGAAGTCGAGAAAATTTCGAACCCGAAAGATTTTCTAGACCGGACCGGGAATCGAATCCGCCGCCTCCGTCCTGGTAATACCGTGCCTATACTGACTACCCGAGCAAAGTCTGAGATCAAATTGAAATCTAAATTTGATGTTGTGATTTCGCTGATAATGATTACTCAGGTTGCTGTCGTTTTGGTCATTTTAACGGTTAAAATATCAAAATTGAGAGCAAAAAAATCTTCCTGTGACATCACATTGAAAACTATCTCTGCTATCAGTGAGAGCAAACTGGAAACTCAATTTGATATCCATTTTTCCTGTTGATAACAGAACAAGTATTCAATTTGATGTTATGCTAAGGCAATGGAAACAAATCCGCAACAACATATTTTTGAAGAGCAAATGTACAGCAAAATGAAAACAAAATTTGTCAATTGCATTAACTGAAATCAAATTAGGATTTCAGTTTGATGTTGATATCAAAACTTGATTTCAATTTGCTGTCATTTTGATGCTGGACTTTGCTCGGGTAGGCTATCAGAGACCCCTGAACCTAGTAGCGAATGAATCACCTACGTTTAACAAAGTTATGATAAGAATTTGTTGATTCATTCACAACTTTTAGAACTTTTGATGGCACACTAGGCTAAAAGCCGTTAATTTCACTGAACTTTCCCATGAAAACACTTCACTGAATGTATTTTGACAATTCCTTTGTCTATCAGCTTCAATCTGATTACATTTTTTACGCCTGAGCAATCTTGTTATGCTAGAATTTTTACTGAATAAAATATATGCGCCTCACAATGCGGCTGATTTCCAGTTGCCGTTAATAGAAGAGCTAGTTAACTTGCAGTTCAAATGGAAAGGTTGGAGAGGAAAAAGATGCTGCCGACAATAGTCACACTCACCTGAGAAGTTTGGAGCGATGTAAAAACGGTATTACATAGTGTTGGACAATTTTATTCAGAGTTTTTGCAAAAGTATCCTGATGATTGGTTGTCGTTATGGGCATTCTGCCGTTCGTGGAAATGATGGTCATATCGGTGGTACTATTAGTGACATCGATAGTACTAGCGGTAGAGATTTTGACTGTAGTTGGTGGCAAGCACTCAACATCCTCTCGCGAAGTAGTAGAACAGAAAAACTTTTTCTGCTCCGACAGATTCTTATTATTATTTATCTTTATTAGGGAGGCTTTCAGCCTTGGGCTGGTTCGCCTCCAATGCTCCAACAGATCTTTGAGGAAGCATTCCAATTCGTTACTATTGTTGTCCAAGCAAATAGTCAAATTCATCACATTCAATATACTCTGATCAATGCTCTTCAGCGCATTATCTTCAAGCATCAATTTCGTTAAAGCTGACTGAGGAAATGCCATACTATGTATCTTGTAAATCTCGTTCTTTCGAAGAAACAGTTCCTTCAAGCCCGGCAGCATGGCAAATGTATACTCCTGAACTATCACAAATCCGCACTCGTTACAGCGTAGTTTTTCCAACACTGTACTTATCAAAAAAGGTTCACTGCCCTCCGGAGCAAGTTCCGTATTCGAACTTAAATCAATCCATCGGATACTGTCAAGTGGTGTCAGCATTTCACTAGGCAACCGTCGCAACTTATTAAACCGCAAGTCAATCCTTTCCAAGTTCTTGTTACCATAAAATGCTTTGGCTTCAATCTGTTCAATTCGGTTGTCGGTAAGGTTGATTTGCTCCAATCGAGGCATTCCTTGCAGTGATTTGTTGTATATTTTATCAACGCCACATCGAAAGCAATGCAGATCCGTCAAACTCTCTGACTCAAGAAACTCAGATCCATCGGAATTAAAATTTAAGTGACTATTTCTATCAAGAATCAACTTTTCTAGATGGTTGAATCGCTGGAACGAGTTTTTATCGATGCTCAGCAGATCGTTATCACACAGAGAGAGATACAATATGTCCAATGGAGTCTTTTTCAGCACATTTGAGCTCTGGTCGATGCTCATAATGTTCTGCCTGCATTTGTCAAACCTAAAAAATTAAATTAATTAATTAAACAATTTAAAATTAATTTATTCACGATGGATATCTTACGGCAGATCATCGTGACTAAATACGATCGATGTGAACCATATAACTAATATTCCCGTCTGCAGTAGCACCTTCATCGTATGATTGGTATTGACACTCTGACAGCGTACTTGTGATACCGACATGCATTCTCTGTAGATGCAAAAAAAGATCATTGATAAGCAAAAAAAGATAAGCCGCCAGCCAGTGAAAGCCTAGCCAAGGCTTCTGCATGTTTTACTCAACCTTTTTCCTTAATGTAGATTGGATGTTTTGTGGTTGTGCTACTCCTATTGTTACAATGATGGTGGACAACCAACCTATAATTTCCAAACATCCAATCGACTTTTACTCTTTGATGTGTTAAATCGGATACTAAATGAACATCCGTTCCGATAAACGACACACTTTGAATAAATCATGTAAATTTAGGTGCTCTGAGACTGAGACATACGAGCGGCAATTTTGACATAATATTGAGTCATAACAGATGCAAATTTCAGATCAATCAAACGTACTTTTCGACAAGTAACGAACTTTTTTGTATCAGAGCACTCAAGTTTACATTACATGTTTGCTTACGTCTCACCTTTATGACAAAGATGAATTCCGTCGTATGTAAAATTAGTTCAGTATATTCATGTGTGTGGGCTCCGTTTTATATTCATGCCCTTAGCATATATGTAATTATCACACTATGGTCTTAGCGCTGTTAGCTCCAACAAATTGCGTGAATCCCGATAAAACTGGCATGCATACTTTTCAATTTTCCAAAAGTAGAACGTAAGAAGTCATACACAAACAATAAATCGTGTATCAAATCCTTCTGAATACAGCTAAACTCTAAGTACAACCCTGATGGAGCAAAAGAACAATATTTCCCTTTAAGTTTCAAGCTTGATAGGTCTTTTAAAAATAGTAGGAACATGATTGCGCCTAGCTTTTTACCTTGTGCTGTCTCCGGTGTTTCCCATTTATTGCATATTGTTGTTGTTTTGATTTGATGACTCTCTACACTGAGAGAACTAATTGGATTTGATTTTGCTATGAACACTAAACACTTACACTTAAGCCATAGCCCACTTAGTGATGGAACAAACTCTTTTGCTTATTATAGCGCTCCTTGTGGACGTTTTCGGAAGCTTTTGACGTCTATTTGTTGACAACAACAATAACAATAACAGTGTATTTTTTTTCAGTTCATAAAACGCTCCTGTTTTGGAGACAGTCACCATGCAAAAGGAGCGTAGAAGAACCTGGAAAATCTATCGTGGTCCGCGTCAAGCTGACTAAGGTGTTGAATTTTCCTAGAAACACCATATGCGCTCAAAATTTAGAGGGAAACCTTGACGACAAATCGGAAGCCTCAAAGTAAACGCCGGAGTGGGACTGCCAACCGAAGGCTCGAGGAGGTATCCCTGGCAGATTCAAATTTGTTTTTGCGAATAAATTCGCACGCAAATATATGATTTGGCAGGGAATTTGCAGCTGTGGCCAGAAGATAAAGGTTTTTTTCACTGAGAAAGTGATGAACTGGGGTGGGAGGTTTACGAAACCGAATTTTTCCAGAAGCGAATTCTGCCCTTCATCCAGTCACATGATGGTCCAGTGACATTTTGGCCGGATCTTGTGACTTGTCACTACAGCCGGGAAGTACAAGAATGGTACAATGACAACGGAGTCCAGTTTGTTCCGAAAACCCTAAATCCACCCAATTGTCCCCAGTTCAGGCCCATTGAAAACTACTGGGCAGAGTTGCGACCTATCACAATCACGATCGTCAAACAGCTGATGGTAGTAACGCTTGGTACATTCCTATCAATGTGCTTGCCGAAGTACTCTCCATGACCATCCATCAAGTTGACGAAAGAAGTAAAAAGCAACTGGTGAATGTCGTCTTCGGTAGTGATCCATCACCGATCTGGTCCTAGGCGAGTAAGAAGTCTTAAAAACATCTCGGATCTGGTCATTCCCGACAATCACGACACTAATCTGTGCTCGTTTTGAAGCAAATTTTGCCAGCTTTGTTTGTAACTCACACAGTCACGCCTGCCGAGACGAACTTGGAATGCGTAGGCATTATTTCATTTTTTTCTATCATTTCGCTTTTTCTCATCGTCGTCAAGTCTTCACTGTTTTCGTTATGCTTTTCATCGTCAGCAGCGAGTGTAACGTTTTGCCTGTGAACAACGACCATTACTGGTGATTGTTGTTTCCCAAGGCTCTTTCTCTCATTGCATTACAAAACGTTCTGTCAGCGGTAGTCGGTTGATGGGTGAGTGTCATGATATTTTGCATCACTGTTACTGGGCAATTATCAAGAGGTACTGAACTGGAGGTAAAACGTACAGTCATCAAAACGGCAGCTCAGATTAAAAATTGGTGCGAAAAAACCGCCAAAACAGTAGACGAGACCACCGCTTGATGGGTCGTATTAATGGAAAAGTTCGAAAATTCCTTTGAAAACGCAACGACTTTTTTTTCTTAAAACCTAAGGAATATGCACTTGAGTAAAATCCGTTTCCAAATTCAAAATAGACCCAAATTATGTTGCTTTATCATTTGCCAATGTTATGCGAATTTACTTCGTAGCTAAAGAACAAATATAAATTTAATTAAACTAGACTGCGCGAAAAACTAGATTTTTGTTATGCATATACAACGCTATAGTTTGGCTCAACTCTCTGAAGAGATAACGATACCCCATTTGCATGGGGTAAAATTACAAGAAGTTTAAAAATTATTGAATCTTAATTGTTTGTTTTCCAAACTCGAAAAATAATAAAACAATTGTTGAAAAATCGTATACTTTGTTCTAAAAATAACTATATTTTATATTGCTAACTGAAGCATCATTGAGAATTTAATAAAAATTTAAAGAATTTGGTTGGACACAAATTTTAAATTCATCCAGGTGTTCAAGCTTTGTCAAAATGAGTACGAAATTTTGTGTGAATGGCAATTTAGAGCACATCCGATTGAAATTATCGAAAAAAGTACCTGCTACTTCAAATATATTGTTCATAAGTTTTGCTATATTGCATAAAAATAGAGATTTATACTCGCCAAAAGCTGACAACAACAAGTTGCCCATTTTAAAATATTAACAGTTCTTCTGGAGAAAACCCATACAAGGAGGTTGCCAAAAATATCACAAATATGCACAACGTTTAACGGTACCAATGTGATATGTAATGCCCTCTAAACTATTCTAAAGCCGCCAAGTCCAAATATGGCAAATTTTCCACAGTACAAATCTCGAAAACTACATAAACTTCACGCTTTGCAAGTGCACTGCAGCATACGTTGGGATCTATTTGGTTAAATAAGGTTTTAACAGACTACTGTAAGAAATCATCAGCAGCAAATAAAGAACTAGAAATTATGTTGATGCATCCTTTATCCTAGTTGTTAAAATCCATTACGACAATAAGTCCCAAAATAAGCACTGATGTTTCAAAGAAGAAGTAAATTTTGCTGTAAAAATGTCATCAGTTGAAAAATTTGAAACTCGAAAGAGCTGCTCAGAAGAAAAAAATAAAGGGTTTCCCTACTGGTCTACTGTGTGTTGTGTGTTTCCCGTTGTCTAGTGTTAAGTGTTCAGACTGTGCAAACTCTGGTTGAAGACGGTGTGAATTGTCTAATTTATGAACTACCAAACTGTTCGGAACAAATTTAACCCTTTGTCTGTACCTCTAAAATAATGCTAAGTTCATTGCAAAAATCCTTCAAAACGGAAAAAAACGAAACATTTGAAGAATAATCAAGATTGCAAAAATTACCTGATACAGACAAAGGGTTAAAAATCAGTCAAAAATTTAGAACTTAAAAAATGTTTTCCTAGCATGTGCAGACATCGTTCAGTTTACCTCATTCAATGATAAAAAATAGAATTTATCTATTTTATTGATTTCTTTCCTTCAAGGGTCATTTGGAATTTAACAGATTTTTCATTTGTTTAATGTGAACCAGGAGATATTAAAAAAAAAATTAAATAAACAATAAGATCCAGGTTTTTTTTAAGATAAAATTTCTACAATAAGAGCCTTCACAAACATTGGGAACATTACTTTCACAGGAGTTAAATATATCAGTGAGGATTTATGATTCATCTGAACATCAATAAAAAAAATATTGCGAGGTAAGACAATAAGACACTCAGGCCTTGTGATGTGGGCAATAATGGCCAAATCGAGCAAAATAGATCAATAATTTCAAATTAAAACGAGTTAAAAAGCAATTTAGAAAACAATTACGCCAGTTTGTGACTCTAAAAATAAGTAAAAAGTGCCTTTAATTTAACGCCTGTAACATAAAAACATAAATAACATAACGCCTTAAAATAAATCCAGGAAAACTTGAAGAAAAGTCTAAATGACTAACAACAACACAATATGAAAAATATCTCGAACAAATATCCAGTTGACAGTGATCAGAAAATTCAGGATACTCAAGTAATCAATAGTTTTCTCCTGTCTCCTGTCTTTAATTTGATTTCAGTTTATAATAATTATTGAACTATTCTGTTCTGTAAATGAATCAGATATTAATTGAATAGATCTATCTCCGAACCCAGTATACCATCGCTAGTACACATTAGATCTGCTTCATATTCATAAAGCTCGTCGGGTACGGCAGATCCACACCAACTTACCTCAAAATCCATTCCAATCAGCCGTGAAACTTTCACAAAATGCACTTCCAGAACTTGTGTGACAGAACTCAACGGACTGTTTTAATGATTATGTTTACTGTCCCGTGGGGAACAACCTTGGTGTGCCCCAGGGAAGTGTATTAGGACCCCTTTTATGTATTATGTATATAAATGACATGAGACGTGTTTTACGATTTTTTCTCATTAATATATGTTATTCATTGCAGCAAAGGATTTAGATGATGCCGTTTTACACTTGAATGAAGATTTGTTTTCTTAGATTTAAGTAGATAGTTCAAATAGGGGAATTTACGTATTCTCGTCAATCTAAGCAGCGTCCTAACTTCTGTTAGCGATTTCTCAGCGTCACACACATACATGACACGTTTGTTTGTTGACATTTATCTGCTGCTTGCTGTTCTACCAATTCCAATCGACAGAATTGATCAAAACGTTTTGAACATGTTTTTACAACGCCCCAAACTTTTCATGTGAGTGTGACTATTGTCGGCAGTCTCTTTTTCTTCGGCACCCTTTCAATTTGAACTGCGTGTTAACCAGTTGTTCTATTATCGGCAACTCGAAATCAGCCGTATTTTGTAGTGTGTATATTTCATTTAAAGAAAAATATGGCATAACAGGATTGCACAGTCGTAAAAATGTAATCAGGTTGAAGCTGAAAAGGTAAGGAATCGGCTTTATACATTCAGCGAAGAGTTTTGATGGGAAAATACAGTGAAATTAACGTTTCAATTTCGGTTGCCGAAAACAGTAAATGGGTGCCGAAGCCATAATTTACCCTATAAGCCATTGAGGTTAAATATAAGTACAAATAAATTCATGGTAATTTTGCGGAATCGAGTGAAAGAGAGCGTCTCTGTTGTAATTGATGATGAGGCTATTGATCGCGTTCGGGAGATTAAATATCGTGGTGTGATTATTGATAAAAAAAACTTAAGTTCAACTCTCACATTGACAATGCCATCAAGAAAATTGCACAAAAGTATGGAATTCTATGTCGATTGAAAAACTATTTAACCACAGACAAACATACACTTGCAGGTTGATCATCGATCATGCATTTATCGAACAATTTAATTGTTTCTTAGTTGGTAGCACCACCACCTGTGGCGCACTTAGTCAATTATCTTGCATTTGACGTTTTCCCACTACCATCATCTGTTGAGCGTACTGCCCATCACTGTGTTTTCAACAGATGGCGATAATGTTCTAGCGGCGATGTTTTACATTGAGAAATATATAATGTGTTATGTCTGATTGTCTGTGATTTAACTATTACAGATGAACATATCAATCATCTCTCCTCATCTGGACTTTTGCCCTCCTACGCTATGTTTGGTAAATGGAATACAAATATCGAGATAACAGCACTTTCAAAATAAAATAATGCGTTTGGTTTTGAGATATAATAGATTCACCTCCTCAATTATGATACTGGACGCTTTAAAATTGTTGTCGGTGAAGCAAAGAATTGTGTATTTAACTATGGTGTTCATCTTTGAAGTAGTTACCGGTTTGTGTGTGATCGAGAACTGACTTTCATAGATATAAAACTATAAACATGGATGATATAAGGACCCCACATTTCTTGACCTGTGCTTGTGTGTTCATGTGTTCAAATCGCTGCCTAAACACATTAAATGTGTTTACACACGTTAAAGCTATTTTTGAACAATTTTCTAGTGAATCTAGACTACCATGCGACTAGACTACCATGCGCCTCCATTGATACTTACATTACTAACATAGTCACATAATCTAGAACCCTATTTTCTGCTTCTACTGTTATAGGCTTGAAAATCCATAAACCGTGAAAACTTCAAGATAATAGGCTTGTTAAATTATTAAAACAGAGATTTGGTTAAAATTACAAGAATTTAGGCAATTTTAACATCAGTTATAAGTCACAAATTAGAGTAAACTTCTGAATGCGCAATATTCTGCAAAGAATAAATTTATTGATATGATGCAACATTCTAATCGTGTTTAACATGCCATGACATGTTTGATCCCAAGAATGTAAGGACAATGTGTTTTTGATCCAAAAATGTTACACGTGTAGCCGCAGTAATCATTCTGGAAAACAAAACTCTAGAATTTGACAGAAAAGTGGAACTCGAAAAACGCTATTTAAAGTGTTGGAATCTTATCTCGGCTTATGTTTGAAATCCGGAATAATGGGACATATCTCTAATGCTAATAAAATTATACAAAGCATTCAGCCAAATTGAAGCGAAAACATTAGAAATAATCGTTCTATAGGTTAGTGATAGGAGTAGAGCGGAAATATTCATTCATAAATGAAGTAGCGAATTTTTTTTTATCAATTTTAGACCCTACTCCTTTCCAAGTCACATTTTCTGTTAAAGTCCTATTATTTTTGATATCTTAATTCTTATTTCCATCAAACCAATAACAAATTGAGATGTTCTGATATTATTTATTTTCATAGTAGAACTTGCTATTGATTTGTTATTCTGTTCTAATTGGAAAGGGCAAACAAAGAGGTGAAAGCATATGCTTTTCATATGTATATCGTTAGAAAACAACTGAAAATTGTTGAGGGATTTATTTATGTGACTATAACCAGTTTCTTTTTTGTTTGCTAATCTGGTTAAGATGTAATACTTAATTATATTAACGATAAATCGTCCAGCTCGAACCATTGTTGTGCTAAGCGGTGGGACGATCATCATCATCATTACAAATCTATTCTCGAAGTCAAAAGTACTCGAAGCCCTATCGATATGTCCAAAATTCCCCTAACCTGATGGAAGTGAACTTCACTTGCCTCAAAGTCTTTAGACTAGTCCCTAAAATTCTTTGGTGGAATTCACTAAATCAATAGAAATCAATATCGTGAAGCGCCAGAATGTGGTGAACAAAAAAATACACTTCTCCGAATGCTGCTGCTTCCCCTATAAACTTTAAAGGGCCAGTGCAGTATAAGATATTTAAAACTGCCCTAATATACACAACCAGGGTTGAATCTAGACAGATTCAATTGTTAATAACAACATTAAAATATATTTGCTCCATTTTGAGAAATTTACATTTAACGTTCCGTACTAGATTAGGAAAAATGTACACAACGTTTCTAGACCAAAAATTACCCCTGCAAAAATGACCAAAATGCACTAGAAAGGTTATTTTTATTATTCACAAGGTTTTCTGCCAGGGACCGCTTTACATTGGGACTAGGAAGATTAAAATGACCAACGAATAGAGATTTAAACTTAGTAGCTTCAGCAAAACTGTGTATCAACAAAAGACCATCTATAGGTGCTTAGAACAAATAATTTGCCAAATATCAATAGCGTCACTTTTTAATTCGACGTTTCTGATTTTGTAAACAATCACTTAAGCCGACGATTTGTCTTAACTAGTAGTTCACCCACGCAAACTAAAAACACAATCAGGTAGGGAAATTTGTAGAATATTGTGCTGGCCTATCTCAATTAATAAAAATATATTATTTAAAATTCACTACAAAAGACTGATTGAAAAAAATAAACTTCAATTTGTGCAGGATGAGGATCGTAACAACATGAAAACTGAACAGATCATTTTATTTCTTATCAAATTTTTTTTATTTTCAAAAACTGCATACACGACATATGTTATCAGAGTCACGAAATGCTGAAGTCACCTCCGAAGATCAGAGCTGTAGGACTCAGAAAATCAAAGATCAGTGGAAATCAACATACCTACCGACTCGTAGCTGGGAAGCCGAGAGGACATGCTTTCGGTGAACCTTCCGCTGTCCCAAGTAGTGTCTTTCTTTTTCAATTTGAACCAAACACCTACCAGCAGAACGAAGATGACAATCAGGGTCAGGTATATTAATATTAGGTGACCAATCATCCGTGTGTCTATAATTCCGTGTATGTTCTCCGTTGTTGGTGCGGAGACAATTGAAGCTAAATAGTTGTCGGTATTTGGGATGGTTTCCGAAGGAATGGTGGACAGCCCAGGATCAGTGCTACCATTAGTGACTTCAAATGTAGTTGTGCTTGGTACCATACATCCAGTATTCTCTCTCGAAGTATTGGAACAGATAAATCTTTCTTGATCGGATAAATCTTTGAGGTAGCACAGCAGTTCATTGGTATTGTCATCCAAGCACATTTTCAATTTCATCACTTTTAATATACAAGGATCGATGCTCTTGAGTGCATTACTTTCTAGCATCAGTATCGTTAAATCCAGTTGAGGGAATGCCAGCCCATGTATTTGAGAAATTTTGTTTCTCCGAAGATACAGTTTCTTCAAATTTGGAAGCATGGCAAATGTATATTTCTGAACTGTCACAAACCCACATTCGTCACACCTCAAATTTTCCAACGCTGTGCTTATTAGAAAAGGTTCACTGTCTCCCGGAGCAAGTTCCACATTTAAACTCAAATCAATCCTTCGGATACTGACAAGTGGTGTCAACATTTCACTGGGCACTCGTCTCAGTTGATTCGAACGCAAGTCAATCTGCTCCAGCTGCATGTTGCCATAAAATGCTCCAACTTCAATCTTTTCTATAACATTATCGGACAAGTTGATCTGGTCCAATCGAGGCATTCCCTGCAGTGAGTGGTTGTAAATTCTATCAACGCCACATTGAAAACACTGCAAATCTATCAAACTTTTCAGCTCAAGAAAATGAGATCCATCGCCAGGAAAACGTAAGCGTCTGTTTTTATCCAGAATTAAGCTTTCTAGATGGTTGAATCGCAGGAACGTGATTTTATCGATGGTCATCAGATCGTTTTTGCAAAGAGAAATATACATTATGCCCGATGGTGCATTTTTGAATACTTCTGAATTTCCATCGATGCTGGTTAGGTTCCCCACGCATAGGTCTAAGTCGTTTCTGAAACGGAAAAAAATAAAGATTTAAACAGTTTAAATATGACTCATACGCAGTAATCATCTTACATCTCATCTCCATGACTAAATACGAAGCAAATTATTGAAGCACCAGTCAGAAGAAGCTTGTTCATCGTATGGTTGTTATTAATACTGTGACGGATTATCGAAGGTGCTGGAAATGTATCGGTGGCGTTCTGGTGTGATCATGTCGCTACCAAACGAGCTCAAAGAAGAGGATTATTAGAAATTGCGTGATTTTTTTCATTTTTTTTTTTTTCGTCAGTCAAAGAAGACTAAACAGACTTTAGTGAACCGCTAACTAAAGGTACATGACTTCTTTAAAGTAAATACAGGAGTATGATTGTATGGTATGATATGAATTGAAATGATTGTTGCAGTTCGATTATGGACATCTGCGTTGATAAGAACTAATCATATCAATATCTTTCGCCTTCTTCTTCTTAATACATAAGATAGCATTTTTAACATTTAGTTCGAACAAACTTTTACAACACCTCGTGTAAAAAAACATAAACTTCATTCTTAAACGTATTCATATCATCATCATTTCTTATCTCTAAAAATAGTTTTATGTCATCAGCATAAATAAGCACTCTGAAATTTTTCAAAATAAGAGAGATATCGTTAACGTACAAAATAAAAAGAAGTTGTCCCAAATGCGAGCCCTGTAGAACTCCTGACGTGACTTGAATTGGGTTAGATTTTTTTTTCTCGCTGAATCTTACAATTGGCTGACGGTCCATTAAATATGACTTAATGACAAGTGAGGAGTTTCATCTCAATTCCCATTTTTTTTTTTTCTAATTTAAAAATCAACATTGGAATGTCAAGTCTATCGAACGCTTTACTGAAGTCAGTGTAAAGAGCTTCTATTTGGTTTCCCTTTTCCATTGCAGTTAATGAGTAATCAACAAATTCCAGGAGGTTTGTTGAGGTATAACGACCTTTAAAAAAGCCGTGTTGTGCATTTGTTATTCTATGTTTTATTTGGCTGAAGATATTTTTGTTTATGATTGATTCGAATAGTTAAGGAATGCACGAGATGATGGCAATCCCACAATAATTTCGGATATCAGATTTTTTAGCAGATTTATAAATGGGTATTAAAAACGATATTTTCCATTCCTGCGGGAATGTATCAGAGTCAAGTGACATATTTTACAGCCAGTGTAAAGGGGTTGTGAGCTCAATAGCTACATTTTTCATGCAGGCTGGTGGGATTTCATCTGGTCCTGAGCCTTTCCAAATCTTTAAGACCTGTCAAAATATCTTGAACATAAATATTTCTAACACCAACATTACTCGAAAAGTCGGGAAAGCATGAAAAATATTCATAATCACGATCATTATCTGAGAAATTGGAGTACGTCTCTTGAAAAAATGATGCAAAAAATTACATATCATATCTGCTTTTTCGTCTAAAGTCATTTTTGATGGAAAGTTGCACGAATTAATTTTAGTTTTAACGTAATTGAAGAAAATTCTTGGACATGATTAAGTTTAATTTTCAGTTTTTATGTTGTACTCATTAAGTGCAGATATTCAAGGGCATAATTAATTTCACCTTTGGTTTGCAAAGAAATGTTTTTCTATCGATGCTATATTCTATAAATGTTCCCAATCAGCTCTATGAAAATTGAAAGTAAAGCTGTTGGGATTAGAAATTATTTCTTGGGATATTTCAAAAGTTACTGGAAGGTGATCAGAACCCAAGTCAACATGGATAACCAATTGGCTACAAAGTTGACATGAATCAGTTAAGACCAAATCAATAGTTGAGGGATTTCTTGCTGAAGAAAAGCATGTTGGGCTGTTTGGATATTGAACAGTATAAAAACCTGCAGAACAGTCTTCAAACAGAATACTATTATTGGAATTGCTTTGAGCATTATTCCATGAGTAGTTCACTATGTTGAACAAAGTTGAGTGGTTTACTAAAATACACATCTTTTTAGAACATACTATACCTGCATCATTTTAATAGGATGAGTTATTGATAAATTTTCTTCTATTTTCCACATATTTTGGACTTGCCTATCTTTCTTAGGTGCAAGAAGGTGCAGATGAAATCAAATGCATCTAAACCTACAATAAAAGAACTTTCAAATGGTGGCAAACTTGACCGTCCACGACCGTCTGCTGGGGAGTTGTGATCAAAACAAGTATCCATACCTTTACTCTGTTTTATGATATAACCCAGTATAAAAAAGATAATCAACTTCAATATATCCACATATTTTTCATGATTTTCTTGAATTATTTTTGTTTTGTTGTCAATATTTTGTATTGTATTCAATTATCATCATTATTATCATAATCTTAACAGTTAATATAATCATTATCGTTTCCGTTAGCTTCTTCTGCTAGAAGCTGTTTAGCATCGCTCGACAATGGCTTCTCGTGCTTTTTAGGCCATCCTAAATGCTAGTAATCAAAGGATCTGGTTATACTAGAAGCCAGTTCAATAGATCACGATTTGTAAGCGATCTGGATTGCTTGCCGATAGTGAACTCTCGGTATCTGTTAAATAAATGGCATATTAATTTATTCGTTTTTATTTTGGTTAAATACATCCAAATTCCAATCCTTGTTCCTTGCCCCCTGTACTTCCTCAGAAAGCTGACCGATTGCAACAAGGAAATGTTCAATCACGGCTGATCCATGTATCAATACTTTCCCTAGTAGCACGCTTGTCACAAATCAATTGTAGAAACTTATATACGACTTATTTCAGTCATAAACAAGTTGCTGTAACTTATTGAGATGAAAGTGTGCTATTCGGGTTTATAAATACTAGATGACAAGTAATAGCAGGATAGGTTGGTGTCGATGAACAAAGCCAAATCTTGCAGATCTGTGTATTCGGGTATAGGGTTGCTCAAGGACTTCTTCAAAGAATGAACCAACTTATTTTCATCTGCAAGTCTTGCGTGAGAAACGTTTTTCAGGATATCCGCCACCTCTTTCTCACCTGATTCTCTCATCTTCAATTGTGTCGCAAATGCTAGCTCATTAAGCTGGTAGCTATTCCGGATCTCTGCAGTTTTCTTCCTCTACGTTGTTTCACAACATTCTTCGAAAGGAACAACCTTCCGTCCTGCCACACTTTTCGCATTTTCAGAAGTAGACGGAAGTAAGTTTAAACGTTTTCCGGAAGTGTGAACGGCTTACTGAAATACTTGGCGTGACGCTTGACAACCATGCACGAGCATGTTTGGTCCAGAGCTTTTGAAAAAAGTCGCACATCATTTTCATAATATTGACCAGAGTGACAAGAGATCATAAGCGTAATTTCAACATAAATTAAATCAAGGAAAAAAAAGATCATTAGCTCTTGTTGTAATTTAACAATGAATTGAAAAATTTAAAAGAAATTAAGCCCTACCAGATAATTCAAATTTACTTCAAAGTTCTGCTCGTGTAGCTCTGATGTCCGGTTTCTTTGGCAGAATTAGTTTCTCTCTCTCTCTCTCTCTCTCTCCTTCGCTTTGTCATCCGCAGTTCTTCTATCTTACATTCTTTAATATACATTCACAATTGCTTATCGCTTGATGAAAAACAGTGATGAGCACTATGGAAAAACACTTATCGACTCACAAGTTTAACTGAATTTGACAGATTTTTTCGTTCTTGATGCTTTAGTTTTGCCTTCTGGGAAACGTTTGAAAATAAAATGTGCAGTTCTTGAATTGAATTGACTTCACCTGCACCTTCTTGCACCTAAGAAAGATACGCAAGTCCAAAATATGTGGAAAATAGAAGAAAATGTATCAATAACTCATCCTATTAAAATGATGCAGGTGTAGTATGTTCTAGAAAGATGTGTATTTTAGTATACCAATCAACCTTGTTGAACATAGTGAAGACCTAAAATTAAAGAAAATATGTGTTTTGAAGAAACACGTGTTTTCTGGGGTCCGTCCTCAAACAACGCTCTCTATCTCGATTTGAGTGAAATTTACGACTTTCATGTCTTCAGCAAAGTTGTTTGAAACTATTTTTGCTACAACTTTGCTCAAGACGTCAACCATATATCTTGACAATGTGAAAAAATAAATTTTTAAGTTTACTTTTAGGGGGAATAATAACAAAACCAGTGCCTTCAAAAGATGAAGCATGTCATATTCATCAACTTTGCTCAAGACGTAATTACTCTAAATCCACTCTCCATGGTGCTATTAATTAAGAGCGTCAAAATGGACTTTTCAACCACTGTGCAATGGAGAGATTTGCCAGCCAGAGTCTAGGAGGAAATGTGTACTGTCATTGTTGGAGATGGAGCTAACATGCATTTATTTATATAATCTACCTAAACGCACTACACAACACCCTACCTACAGTGTAAATCTCTTAGTGAAGAGTGAAGAGAACACGCATGTGCAATCAGCCTCCGTCCACCGATCACTGATCGTTAACCGAAACGATCGATGTAAACCCAATCTGTCTACCATCCAAAAAGCGTTCATCACCTTTGCCGAAGACACAACATCCCAGGTGACCAGGTTCTCAAAAGCTGCCTTAAGAACTTGGTCATCTGAGAAGTTGTGTCTTCGGCAAAGTTTTTGAAGGCCTATTTGGCTAGCTTAAAACTTAGTAGCACCGCCTAGTGTGAACATCCTGAACTTGTTTGTCTACCATTTGGAAGGGCTAGGACAATTAAAAAACATTGCTCAAGACAGCAACTTCCTTTATGGCTAGAATGTTAAAATATATCCTTTTCAGGAGCTTCACATGGATACTAGCACTGCGTAGTAGGTACATTTTGTACTGATCAGAACAACTTATCCTAAGACAGTCACTTCCTAGGTGGTCAGGTTAATGAGGTATAGCTTATAAAGGAATGCATTATGCATTGGATTATAAAGGAGATTATTTAGTAAAAGGAGAGGGAAGGGTGTTCAAATCTTTTGCATAGTATTATAAATCAGAATTGAAATGAGTCTACCATGAAGTCAAAAAATGTTTAGGACGTATCACTTTTCCATCGTCATCAAGTTGGGCAATGATTAATGATTACATATCCAAGGTATGCCCCTCTTCTGAACTTCGTTTGACATTTTTCATCGCCATAATTTTTCATCTTGTTTACTTGATTCATTCCCAAGCAACAGTCGGTGTGGCTGTTCAACCATACCATCATGATGGGCTTACAAAACGC